CTTTTCCAGCACCAAACACTGGAAATTAACTAAAAAAAAAAAGAAAAAAATCTGTTTCAATTCATTATTATATGACATCATTTATTACTGTTATTAATAATGTCTTGTGGTTGTATATATTCTACTTTCTTCAGCAGGGAAAAGGTTTTGAAATCTCTCTATAAAAACACAAAATCTTACCAAGTATTTTTTCTCAAGTTTCTCAGGTAACACTTGAAATGAGACAAAGCCAACATACAAGCAACTTTTCAGCTAGATATAGGAACTTGTCTGTTGTGAATAATTCCCTAATATTGATGAAAAAGTATTTCTTCCAGTGGCAGATTATTTCACTAGAAACATGGGAACAATATCTTGTTTGAAGTGAAATAATCTGCCAGTGGAACTAGAACTGGGTTGCTAGGTAACACGCTGGGTTTGGCTGGGGTTGCTAGGTAACGGCGCAAGACCTGTCACTTGTGAAAGAAGTGAAATAATCTGCCTATAAAACTAACTTTTTCATCAACATTAAGTAATTATTGACTTATGACAAGTTGCTTAAAAGTTAGTTTTGTCTTATTTTGACAATTTTCAATGTTCTTCTGTGTATAATTTAAAAAAAATAAAATAAAATAAAAATTGAATTTCAGCAAAAACTGAATGAAAAAAGCATCCAAAAACTGGTTTTCGTTTCGTTTTCGATTTGTCTGGTTTTCAAATGAAAACCAGACAAATCCAAATCTAATTTTATGTTGATACAGTTTGATTTTAAGCAAAAGAAATTCAGATATAATTCAGATATGAAGGTGAAATGATCCAGATGTCAGCACAGATCTCTCTGTTTGTCTTTTCTGCTGCCCCCTCCTCCTGTCCTGGTGGTCTGCAGGCCGACACAGAGGTCAAGAGAAAAACAAACCAACCAATGAGGAGCTGGTGCACCATAAGGTCAGGGGTCACAGGTCAATCAGCAGCAGGAGGAATGAAAGTCAACACTGACGTATGGTTTTAATGGAAACTATGATTTGTTTCATCAAACTTTTCTAGAGACACAAATATCTGGAGTTAATAGAATTTAACATCTAGAAAGGAAGCAGATACTAACTAACCATTCTGGGTAAAACACAGGGGCGGATCTACAGGGGGGCAACTGGTGGCCACTGCTCCCACCCCCAAAAATATGATGTCCTTAAAATCATACTTATGAAAACTAAACTCTTATATCCTTCATATTAAATATTAAGTATTAATTCAGAAGAAATAGATATAATTATTTATAATTCCAAGCACAGTGGGTTCAATCAACCTGCCAAGTCAAACTGACAGAGGAGGGTAGAAAAATTATACTTGAGTAAAAGTAACAATGCTTTAAAACTAAAAGTGAAAAATAGCCATCCAAACACTTGGTCATAAAACTTGACTTAATAATAGAAGTGACACCATCTGACTGAGAAAAGGAGAAAGCTCTGTGGAAATTCAGGTATTTTAGACTAAAATTTGAGAGAAAACACAAATAAAAACACAACTGTTACGTTTGGGACTTTCAGAAACTTCACTGGCCACTTCCTTCTCTCCATGTAAAAGTTTCTATCTTCACTTTAAATCAATTTACTTCCTGATTTAACCCCTTGAAATTGGGTCTCTGTCTCTTTAAAAATTCCTGCTCTTTCTGAAGCTCCGTCTTCAGGAAGTCGTCCCAACATGGCTCCTCTATTAACCCTTTAACACTTTTTTACCAGCGTTGCTCTGAGCAGCAGCTCCTGTAATGAGCTCAGCAGCTGTTTGCTAATTGCTGCTGGCTAGTCTGAAGGAGCTGCGCGGCGGAGGAGTTACGCCTCAATTTCTCATGCATGTATGAAAGAATCAAGGCAACGCTCAAGGTGCGTTTTAGATGATTTAATAACATTATAACACGATGCACAGCTCAAAAGGCTGTTATATAAAACTGCCCATTTAAATTAAGACTGAAAATCCAGCTGTGACTTTGAGCGAATAACTGAAACATTGATCATCATATTCTATGCGTATTGATGATTTTTGACAAAATGTGATGTTTCTTAATGATGTTTTTATTGCTGCGAGTCACTCTGAGCTCGACAGAAAAACCCGGCCACCTGCAGAGGCTGAACTCGACCCGGACGAATCGTTCTGCCGCATGTCAGCGGCGTCTGAAATGGATCCAGCGATCAAGAGACAGCAGACAAAGAGCTCAGAGCAACCCGTGATCAAACCCGCCACACCCCGACCTACAAAGGCTCCCGGACCGCCAGGGGCCACGGCGTGCACCGGCGAGTGCACGGAGCCGGCCTGTATCAGATACAGTGAGCCGTAAACCGACCCGACCCAGAGAGATGGGAGGACATGATGAGGGATGCGGGGGATGAGCGGGTTCGCTCTGAAGTTTAGATAACCGCTTCCCCCAGGGATCCGTTTACAACCGTCCATCTCCATCCAGGTCTGAATGAGCCTCTTATTCACAGAGTTCACACAACTTTCAAGCATTTTGAAGCATTTTCAAGGGAAGTTTCAAACTTTTCCAGGACCAAACCTTAGAGACTGGAGCAGTTATGATGGGTTCCTGGCCCGACCCAGCAGGTTCCCCGCATTAGGAAAGAGAAACTGAAGCCGATGTCTGCTTGTGTCAGTTCATCACATAAAATAATAAGATAAAATGTATGGAAGCTCGTGGTTGTGACAAAATATGAACAAGTTAATGTTTAGTCTCTGAAACGCTTTGCAGTCGAACCTTTAAATAGAAAAGAATAATAGAATATCTTTTCTATTTTATAGCCCTGTGGGCTATAAAATATATACATTTATATAAAATTGACAAACACCGAAGAGTGACGAAAGTAATTCCAATATGACTGAAAATAAGTAAATAAATAAAATAACAAGCACGTTTGTTAATCTATAATCTATAGATGATAGAAAATTAGTTGTAAGTTACTCAGAGTTATAAAGTCAGATTTCAGCCTCAAATTTGGCCCAACAGCTGCTGACAATAAATATTTTATCATCACCTGAAATGATCCCATGTGGAAACATTCTGTCTTAATCATCAAATTAGAAAGAACTGAGTAAAACCAGATGAATGAGTTCGATTCTCCATCTTCAATGTGTGTTTTAATGGTTATCTGGACAGAAAAATCACAGCCTGATGTTGAAAATATGAAACCATAAAAACACAGTAATATGCTTGTGCTTGTTTACCTGCAACTCTTGAAGTCATCGCTGATATTCTGACCCAGTGAAGACGCGGCGGGCTGCGTCTGATTGGTCTTCAGGTCCCATGCGTGGTTGCTGAGGCCGACGTTGGCTCCGCCTCTCCTGCGACGAGGCAGCGTCCCGTGCAGCGAGACCGACTGGTAGGCTGCAGCAGGAACCTCCTGACCTGAAGGGATGCTGCATGAAAGAAACGGGCAACTGAAATGACACACTGAACTCATGTTAAATTACATTTTGAGGGAAGAAGTTTAGCATAAAAGTGAGGATTACCAGGGATTGGAGCCGTGGAGATCCATGGGGATATTGAGTTTTCTGGGGGAGACGCTGTGGGCGGAGCCGGGGCCTCCGGAGTGGGCGGAGCCTCCTCCCATGGCGTGAGGATGTGCATGTAGCGACCGGGGCAGACTGGCAAAACGCCCCTCAGCCATCATCCTCAACTCTGGAAGAGTGCAGAGAAATTACATGAAGCATGATTAATGTAAAAAAAAATAAAAACAAACCAAACTTGGCGAGCTTTCTGGGAGTGAAATAAGGTCACACACTGCAAAAAACTAAATCTTACCAAGTATTTTTGGTCCAGTTTCTAGTGCAAATATCTTAGTACATTTTAAATAAGACAAAATTAGCTTATAATGACTTTTCAGCAAGATAAGAGCTTGTTTTAAGTAAATAATTCCTAAATATTGATGAAAAAGTTCCAGTTCCACTGGCAGATTATTTCACTTATCAATCAATTTTATTTATAAGATCCCTTCATATTAAAAGTAGCTCAAAGTGCTTATAACTAGACATTTTTCCAGTCTTATAAATGAAATAACCTGCCAGTGGACCAAGTACTTTTTAATCATTATTAATGAATTATTGACTTAAACAATCTCCTATGCACCTGTTGCAGTGTGAGATCTCAGGACGAGAAGCTGCTCGCTAACGATGACTAGCATTGGCTTTAGCTGTTAAATTGACAACTTAATGCACTAAATCTTAAAAGTGTTTGTGTTACATAAAGGGACCAACTGCTAATTGTCAGCACTAAGACAACTAGATGAGGTCAGGAAAATGTTTTAATTAAAAATAAATGAGAGAGAAGGAAGCTATGCTAGCTTGACTATGACAACTGTAACAGTAGATGTGCTGTGGAATGGTGTGCGTTTCTGTTCAGTTAAAAAATAAAACACTGACACCAGCACACAAACCCTGACAGATCATCAGCAGAGCAGGTGTTTAAATTAGCTAATCAACCACTGGTGTGTTAGCTTAGCTAATAGCAGCGGTAGCTAATCTACCACAGCGATCACTTATTAATCATCAAGCCTGAAAACATTAAACTGTAACGGACTGAATGTTCTGTTGTTTTTGTTGGAAATGTTCAAGTGTTTTTTGATGTTGAATCCTGATACACTAGTGGACCTGTTGTCAGTCAGTTGCTATGGCAACGGGTCTGCATGTAGCGTAGCCAACACAGACAGCGAGAAACAAAGAAAACTACAAGTGGTTTGAGATCTTCTTCGATGGTTTTTCCTTTGCTGTGGCGCTGCACTGAGTTAGTAATGCCTCCATCTCCAGGTTTCATTTAGGTAACAGAGTTGTTCTAAGTAATGTCTTAATTCATGTGTGCTAAGCTATTTGCACTAAGATTAGACAAAAATTCCTCTGCAAGTTTGTGTTTTTCTGAGTCAACGCACAAAAACAGTGTACGAGACAACAGTTACCACACCCAGATACACCAAACTGGGATTATGTGTCAGGCGATCACAATGCAAACCAACAGAGTGGCCTGCAGGGAAACAGGAGTCATCATTACGTATCGGTAATTACAATAATACAAGGCATTTAAATGCTACATGTCACGCCTGAAGGACAGATTTTTATGTTTAATTATGTCTCCAAACACACAGCAACATAAATAATGATTATTTTCATAAGCATTTAGTGAATTCAGACATACATCATAATCTAAAGTTTAAATGGAGAATCCTCTGGAGTGGAGGGTCATGAGAGACAGGGCTGCAGCTATCAATTATTCTAGTAATCGATTATTCTATTGATTATTCTGATGATTAATCGATTAATCAGAGAAAAAGATTTTCCAATTAACCACTTAAGTCTTTTTATTCAGTGTTAGAAATACATTAAAATAAGGAAATACACAAATATTTCAAGAAAATAAACATATTATTGCCTAAAATGCAATAACAGCTTTTCTGCAGCCGATTTGAACAAAATGGAGTTAAAACTTTGACACTTGAGTCTTTTTGAGTAAAACATATTTACAGAAAGTTTTTTTCCATCTTATATGCAAAATGCATGTATATTTTTTGTGCAGTTTTGGCTTAATTGATGATTAATCAATTCCAATAACTGATTAATCAGATTAATTGCATCTAATCCGATGAATTGTTTCAGCCCTAGAGGTGTTTTATGTAGTATTAGGACTAGGATGAAAAGCGCTCCAGCAGGCTTGTGATTAGACAAAAATTTGACTTTTTTTGTAAATTCTAGAAAACATTTCACAACCTGTTTGCATCCGAATCGGAGAGGATGGAGACAATATGAAGCAACAGCTGCAACTTCCCTCCCTGCGCCTGTATTTTGTGTTCATGAAGTAAGCTGTCATCTGTTGGCCTGAACACACAGTGATGAAAAAGGCAGATAGATGCGCGCTGCTGGGAAAACACAGGATGGGTTCTTTTCACGTTTTCCTGCGATGTGAGGATGACAGACGCATCATCTGCTCTGAATCACTCTGTATGCAGCAGTTAGTCACATCGCACAAACTAAAATAACACGGAAACCACAGACAGGCTGGATGCTCTCAGTCCTGATCTCAGCAAAACCAGCGTGTGTGTGTGTGTGTGTGTGTGTGTTATATAATATAAAGTTATTTCAGAAAATTAACTGAGATAATGTGAGGTAAGAACTGAGTTAGAGGTGAACTTTTGCCAAACAAACGTTTTTTTTTCCTCCATTTTGTTTTTAAATATGAAGCTTTAACATGCAAAGAAAAACTTTATCAAGTGGATAAGTTAGTAGGAATTAAAATATCTTCATTTATGACAGGCTGCAGTTTAACTGATGATGTTTGATGTGAGCAGTTTGTGAACTGGGAGTCCTCAGCCAGCTGCAAAGCATCTGTTTCAAACCGAACCGAACTGTGGGGGGTCTCAGAGTCGTCGGCTCCTGCAGATGAATGTCAATGAAAATGCAAATGAAGCCTTAAGGGAATCAACAGCTGGCCGGTCCGGTCCGGTCCGGTTCGGTCCAGGACAGGCCGCTCAGCACTGAGCAGAGAGACGTTTATCTGAGGAACGTCGGACCAGACAGAATGTGGATTCCTCCAGATCGGCCACAGCACCTATTATGTGACCCTGAGGGATTCAGCTGTGTGTGTGTGTGTGTGTGTGTGTGTGTGTGTCAATGACCATCTGCCAGACACACAACCTCCCCTGTTCTGTGTAAAGAGTCAAATCTCATTCATGTAAGTGACAAACACTTAAATGTTTAACTTCAGGATAAACTTTTCATGCAACAGGAATTCATTTTATAGAAAATATGAGAAGATTGATGGATAGAAAAACTTTATCAAGTGGATAAGTTAGTAGGAAAGAGAAAGAGTAGTATGACTTAAACGTATTTTTACAAAAGTATCTCTCCAAGAAATTACTCAAGTAAAAAAGTATTTGGTAAAAAGTTCTGAGTAACTGATCAAATAATCAATAATTTCATATTTAAAAATTACATCATCAGACAGACCAAAATATTAAAGTGGAAATTTTTGGTATTTTAGTAACCAAAATGACAATAATTCAGATCCATAGCAAAAAATAAGAAATTTTACTGAAGAGCAGAAATACTTCATACTAAAATTACTCTAGTAAAAAGTACAGCATAGCAAAAATACTCTGAAAAAGTAATTAAAAAAAACATACTCAAGTAAATCCAACTAGTTACTCTCCGGCCTTTTCTATCCGCCTGTCATTTATTTCACATTCAGCCGTATTTCAGCCGCTGCTCTCCGTCTCGGACCTCATCCATCTTTCTCTTTCAGCGATGCGTTCTCCTCCCTCCACCAGACAGACGTCGTCTCCTCGCCGCTCTGCGTCCGTCACTTCAGCTCTTCTTTTCTACTAAACTTCTGTCTCTTTCTTTTCTTCGGCCTTCTGCCTCTCCTTTCTTCATCGCCTCATCTTTGGTCCCAGCAGCTGTTCGCCAACCAGTCGCATCACTCAACACGAAACAGACAGACAGGCTGCAGAACCGACCTCAGGTCTCACTTTAGAAATCAGGGCAGAGACTTTAACGCCCTTATTTAGGGTAAGAAGCTGTTTGGTCAATTATTGGTCTGTTTTATTGTTTCCTTTTCTTTGCACCAATCTGATGGTTGAATAACCTAAATAACAGACTCAAAACAGTAAGTATGTCTATTGAGCTCAAAAATCTACATTAAATTAGCTGCAAAAAAGGATTTTTGAATTTTTGAATTCGATTAATTGCCACTACTATTAAAAACATAACTAAAGGTGCATTATATATAAGATTTTTATTAATTCCTTTAAGTTTTTATAGTTTGTTTTTACTCAGAATAAATAACAGGAATTATCTGTTATAATTACTCGTATGAAATTGGTGGTTTTGTTTGCACTGAAGCAACTAAGGTTTTATTTTGTGCACAAATCATCATAAATTCAAGGTTACAGTTGAAATAGCTCAGCACAGTTTGAGTTTATATCAGCTATATTTTCTCTCTTAATGGTGCGTCTGACATGAACCCAGTGATGATAAATCCTCCCAGTTATGAGTTAAATGTTTTCATGTGGCAGATCACTGAGCAGACCTTCATATCCATGAGTGGTGATGCTGCAGAACGGCTGACATCAGCGCTCTGCTGTGGACGACCTCTGACCTTCCACCTCTGCTGCAGCTGATATTTTTAGAAACGCAGGCTAAATTTAAAACCTTTAGTAATTTTTCTAAATTAGCCTTTCATTTTGCAAGGTGGGACACTTAAGATCAACTCAGAGGGAATCCTGGCACTTATAATCTGTATAAATTAATGAGAATAAAGATATGTAGCACTGCAATATGATGAAAACATCATATTTGTTAAAATAATAAAAGCTCAATCTTGATCCTTTAAGTCGTGAAGCCAACCAGACCGGGCAGCAGGAAACTTCTCCCCATTTCTTTGTCTTTTATGGAAAAGTTGTGCAGTTTGTCACATTTCTTTCCGTTTTATTCCAAACAACCAGAAGTTGGTCTTGACCAACAATTTCCTGTTTTTGGACTTTTTATTTCAGGGTGTATTCAAACCAGGAAGGTCATTTGGTCCAAACCAAAAGCAGGTTTTATTTTATTTTTTTGTTTGCTGCTGTTTGTCTTTACATTAAAAAAGTGAATTAAATTATGTAAACGCAGTTACAGTTATGTTATGTCGGTTGTTAT